GAGAATGTTGGAGGTCAATTAGATATAGGAAATATTAGACAAAAAAATACAAGGATGACTCCATCATTTCTAGCTTGGTTGTATGAGTAGCCACTGAGGCAAATAACCAAAATAAAAATAGATTTATAAGAGAAAGAATAATTCAATGTGTGTCTACTTTTGTGTAAAGTCAGTGTGAGGAGTTGAATAAATAGCTTTGAGTTTCTAAATGTTGATTTTGAAGTATAGGTAACGGAGGAACACAGTTAAAATTATACAGTGAGTTGTCAGAAATACAAATGCAGATCAGGAATGGAAGTGAGGTGAAAGATAAATAAATTTGGAAAGTTAATGACACTGAAGTAGTAGTTGAAGCCTGGAAGAAGATAAGCTTGCTTAATTAGGTCTAGCAAATAGCCTGAGCAAGAAAGAAGGCCAAAGAAAGGAAATTCGTTCATGCAAGCATTTAATGTTCTAAGCGTGCATGTGGACTTTAACCATTTGGACTCCACATAATTAATGCAGTGGTTGATAGAATAATAAAAATTATATTATGGCAAGTGTTTCTTTGATGAGTATTCATTGAAGATGCTTTTCATTCATTCCTTCATTAATTCATTCAAAAATCATCTGTTGAGGGCCTACTATGTACCAGGGGCTGAAGGCAATGAGGATGCAACCATGGACCAAATAGACAAAAAAAACCCTGCTCTCATGGAGTTTACATTGTCAGAGGAGGATATGGTCAATAAAAAAAGAAATGCTTAAAATCTACAAAGTGTTACATGAGGAGATACTTTATTCTTTTGGAAAAAGTAAAGCAGAGAAGAGGGGCAGGGCAGAATGGAGCTGCAGTTCTAAGCAGGCTTTCCGGAGGATTTCTTACTGACAAGGTACATTTGAGTGAAGAGCTGAGTGTTCGGTGGTGGCTAGCAAGCGGCAAGGGTATTTGGAGGAGAATGTTCCAGAGAAAGAGAACAGAAAATGCAAAGGCCCTGTGTAGGGAGTATTCCTGTAGTGTTTAAGGGATGTCAGGAAAGGCAGTAGGGCTGCAACAGAGGAAGCAAGACTGAGAGAAGGAGGACGCCATGTCAGCAATCACATTGGATAGGGCTCGACCGGCCATCATGAAGACATTGGTTTTTATCATGGCTTATCTCCTGATGCTGGGAAAAACGAATTTAATAATGAAAAAAAAAAGAAATTAAAAAGAAACCCCAAAATAAAAATAAAAAGACTTTGGCTTTTACTGTGAATGAGAAGAGAAGTCTTTGGAGAGTTTGGGTCAGGAGCAACATCTCACCATCTTACATGCTTCCTGCAGTTGTATGAGAGCAAAGGTGGAAGCAGGGAGATCCTTCCGGAGGCTGTTGCAATAATCTAGGACCTCGCCCTTAGGTGAAAGATGAGGGTGACATCAGCCAGGGTGGCAGCAGTGGAAGTTGGGGGAAGTAATAAAATTCCAGATACATTTTGAAGGAAGAGCCAATGAGATTTGATGACAAATCGGATGCAACGTGTGAGAGGAAGAGAAGAAGCAAGAATGACTGCTTGAACAATGGAAAGAATGAAGTTGACATCAGCTAAAATTGGGAAGGATACAAACACAGTAGCCCTGGGAGGAGGAACAGAAGTTTAGGATATTAGATGCCTGTTATATTATGTGTCAAATGTTGCCAATAGGTCGAGGGTGATGAGGACTGAGAGTGACCGTTAGATCTTGGATTACCCTGACAAGGACACATTTGGGGAAGTGATAGGAGAAAGAGCCTGGCTGGAGTAGGTTCAAGAGAAAGTGACAGACGGAATTAGAGATGTGGAATGGAGATAAAATAATGAGTGTTGCTCTAAAAGAGGTTCATCAACCTCAGCACCGTTGACATTTTGGAATGGATAATTCTTTGTTGTGAGGGGTTGTCCTGCACATTGTAGGATGGTTAGCAGCATCCAGGGCTTCTACCCACTAGATGCCGGTAGCACCTCCCCGCCAGCTGTGACAACCAGAAATGTCTCTAGACATTGCTAAATGTCCTCTGGGGGGA